TCGTCGATTACCGGCATTTATTAAACGCAGCGAGGTGTTAATAAAGCGCTTTTCTACGTGCGCGGCCGGAAGGTGAGCTCATTGTTTACTGAACTTTATTGCGATAGGTTTACTTATCCTCGATAAATATTCCGTCGTAGCGGCGCGAGGAGAGAGCGACGGGACGATTCGTCTAATTGGTCGGTCTGATAATTAAAAGCCTCTAACTACCTTGATCGTCGATTCCGGCAGGTGTAATTGTGCAGCTAATTCGCATCTCCTAGGCCTGCTCACGTAGTTCTCTCTGTGGAACTCTTTCTCCAAACGCGACAACTGTTCCCTGGTGAACGCCGTCCTGTACCTTCTTATGTTTGGATCCATCGAGGATAATGGCTGTTGTTGTTGTGACGGCGACGTGCCTGTGAATCAGTAACAATTCGAAACCTAACGTTAAGTGAATCTGAACATTTCGATAAGATTCCCTGTCAGTCGAGGGAAAATTAAATTGGTCAATTAAATTTACGTAGATTTACTTTCATCCTGGCTCGATGACTCGCTGGACATTCTGGATGATAATATCTGTGACAACTATTTGGATGATGCAACTGTTGAAAGTTGCGAAGTGAGAGAAAATCAGTCGGAGGAGGTGAAGTTGAAGTATAGAAAAACGTCGGCCTCGCAAAAGACCAGCTCTTGACAGTCGGACCGAAAGTGGAGCCAAGTCGAAGCTGAAAATCTTTCAGATTTTTCTCGAGACTAGACGAGATTCGTGCAGTCGATTGTGCCGACAATCGGACACGCTGCGATTCGTTACGATGAGAAATAGTACAGGCACCCAGGGTGGCCGGTTCGTTCTCGATGCGGTTACACGTTGTCACTGGCGAGAAGCAGCAGGTGATCGCGTTTAAAATCATGTAAACAAGGAGAGAGAAAGGACAGAGAGAGAGAGAGAGAGAGGGAGGGGGGAGAAAGAGAGGAGAGATCTTGGAGGGTGGCTAGGCTGCTTTTCGTCGTGCCGGCGTTCTTTTATCGCGATTCTCTTCGGTTTGCCGACAGTTTCACCCGACAATTTTGGATCCTCTCTCGAGAATAGCGAGAAAAAAAAAAAAGAGAAAAATTACACTTTCCTTGCAAAACGCTAGTTCCTCTTACAATCAGTTACTGTCGTACATACAGTTATTGTCTCAAGCTATCAAAAGTCACACGGTGACTCATCAGTGAAAAGACCAATCTATGGAAACAGATTAATCTGCAAACTATCAGCGACAATACGTATACGAATAGACGCCACTTTGTGATCAATGAATCACTGTAGGATAATTAAAGATTTTCAATTTTCGTGAGTCACGTATAATCATCGCATTAAAAATAAACACCGTGATAAGCGCCTTAACCATCAGTCGGTCCGATCAATCAGTCAATTGAATTTACCTGTCCTGTAATTCTTAACTCAACCATTATGAACTTCAAAACTTTAACATTAAACTTCAACTTCCCTCGAGGCGAAGTTGTAATCTAATTGTACTCCAGAGAGTAGGAAGGAATTTGTATGTCAATGGCAACCGAGTTCCGTCGGTAAATGTCTCGTCCCCGTACGTTCCATTTAATTTCAAGTCCTACATTTATTCACATCTACGTGCTAGATACAATTTAATCCTTCGAGAAGTTCCTCAAACTGACACCTTTTTTTTTTTTTTTTTTTCTAGATTTTCGCTTGGGAATTTTCGACACCGGAACATTGATTGATCAACACTTGATCCGCAAGGAATTTTTGAAAGTTAGCTGGACGTTCATGCGAGGAGGAAGGTAGATCAAGAGTATCCATAGGAATTTCTTTTCGTGCAAAGATTCACCTTTTTCCGGAGTTTTTGGTATATTCCCTGGCGGCGGACTGTGCGGAGGGCTGAGCTGGTACTGCGGAGGTATAAGGTCCACCACTATAGTTTCTTCCTCCCTTTGATCCTTTTGCTGATCGTCGAAATTTCTCTGATATCCCTGCATTCTTTTTCCTTCTTCTTTTTTTTTCTTTTTTCTTTTTTCTATCTCTCGACACTAACGACAAAGTGTAAATAATAAATTCATCCGTCTCTCAAAGTGTCCACTGTCTGCACTTTTTTTTTTAAAAATATTCTCTCTCTCTCTCTCTCTCTCTGTCTCTGTCTCTCGATGCTCGCGGATTTCACTTTTTCAAACTGTCTCATCGACGGAATGACAAAATTGTCATGTTTATAAAACGTTTGTTATATTTCGTTCGTTTGCGAACAAAACCACTGATGTACTCGCAGACGAGAAAAAAAAAA